GCCCTTTTTAGGATAGCCCTGCTCACTCTCACATGATGGAGGGGGTTCGAAAAGGTACCCTAACACTGCCTGCCCCACAACATCTGGCCAGCTAACTCTGGCTGGCAGATCATCTCCTTAGCGGTTGAGCATCAAGAAAAATGAACCAAAGAAAATTCATTTTCAGTGCCTGGAATGTCTATACCTTGATGGATAGAGGTAAGGTGTCAAGGCCCGAAAGACGAATAGCACTCAAAGCAGCCAAACTTTGCCATTATAGCATTGACACTGTTGCACTCACTGAGACCAGGCTGGCAGACAAGGGTTCATTACAGGAAGCAGTGAGTGGATACACATTCTTTTGGAAAGGGAAGCCACAGACTAACAACAGGACTCACTGAATAGGTTTTGCAATCAAACCTGCTCTGTTGAAGAACATCTCTACTCTACCCACTGGAATAAACCAACTTATTATGAAGTTCTGTTTTCCTCTCAGCAAGTCCCAGTACATCACCATTGTTAGCATCTATGCACCAACTCTCACAAGTCCAGATGAGGACAAGAAAGATTTCTATGAGGACCTGGACCAGATTATTCGAACAATCCCCACCAGTGACAGACTCATCATTCTGGGTGACTTCAATGCTAGGGTGGGGATAGACAGTAACAACTGGGATGGAGTCCTTGGGAGACATGGGGTGGGAAAACTAAACAGCAATGGCCTGTTGCTTCTGAACAAGTGTTCAGACTTGCAGACAAGTACAAAACAACTTAGATGCATCCCAGGTCCAAACACTGGCACTTATTTGACTGTGTATGACAGTGCAACCTTAAAGACATCATCATCACCTGGGCCCTGCGAGGTGCTGAGTGCTGGACAGATCACAGGCTGGTCTGCTTGGTCTTCAACCTGCACATAGCCCCTTTACATCGTAAGCAATCAAGGATTATCAGAATGTAATTCAACACTGGCAGACTGCAAAACCCAAGCCATTTTCAAAATGTACTTAATGAAAAACTCTCTGGCAATTTACGACTTTTAGGAACCTATTCTGAAAAATGTATGCAGTTTAAAGATGTCATCTTGCAGACGTCAACAACTGTACTCAGACTGAAAACCCAGTTGCATGAAGACTGGTTTGATGAAAACCGTAAGACCATTTCAGCAGCCTTCCAGGCCAAGAACAAGACCTATGAAGACTGGCAGAATGATCCATCATCTGTCTCAAAGACAGCCAAATTTAAACACCTGCAGTCCAAAGTACAGGTGGAATGGTGAGTAATGCAGGACGAGTGTGGTAGAGAAAGGCTGAGCAGGTGGAATGTTATGCAGACATGCATGGCACCAGACAATTCTTCAGTGCCATAAAGTCTGTTTATGGTCCTTCTAAATCAGGATGCTCCCCTTGCTGTCATCTGATGGGTCGAGCCTGATCAAAGACCATGAAGGACTGAAAAACCATTGGACTGAACACTTTTCCAACCTGCTCGATAGGCTGTCCACAGTTGATCCTGATGTCTTACAGCAGATTCCTCAACTGCCAGTTTTGGATGAACTAGATCTGCCTCCCTCTGCTGATGAGATCAAGAAAGCAATCTCACAGATGTTTGAACAGACTGTCCATTGTCTGGACCTCCCAGAGGTGCAGTGCACAACAGCTGCATTTGCCATTTCCAGTGGATGAGGCAGGGTTGTGTGCTAGCCCTAGTCCTGTTCAATCTGTTCTTCGCTTGCATGTTGTCATATGTTGTCCAGGGTTTAAGAGGGAGTGTACATCAGGTACCGATTGGATGGCTCTCTCTTTGACTTTTGTTGCTTGAATGCTGGGATGAAGTGCCTCCATACAGTCATTCAAGAAACCCTCTTTATTCATGACTGTGCATACCTGGTGCACAAAGGCAGTGACCTACAGTTGATGCTGAACAAATTCTCAGATGCTGCTATGTTCTTTGGCCTGACTATCAGCCTAAACAAAACTGAAGTACTTTACCAGCCCATGCCAAATACCAACCCCGTAGGACCAAAAATCAACTGTTGCCAATACCCAGCTGACAAATGTAAACAGCTTCAAATGCTTAGGAAGCATCATCTCGAGCGATGGGTCTTTGGACAAAGAAATTTACTCCAGGATCAGCAAAGCCAGTCAGGCACTGGGGCTGCTGCATACTAGAGTGCTCAATCAACACATCTATATCTCCATAATGCTGAAAGTCCACAGAGCTGTGGTCATCCCTTCTCTCCTATATGGATGTGAGTCCTGGACTCTCACATCAAACAACTGGAGAAATTTAACATCTGTGCTCTCCACTCCATCCTTGGCATCCATTGGCAAGACCGTGTCTCCAACCTGGAGATCTTGGACCATGAGAAGTCCACCAGCATTTAGTTCCTGATTATCAGAGCCCAGATGCAGTGGGTAGGACAGGCAGAATGGATGGCCACTGTATGCATCGCCAGATGCTCTACGGTGTACTGGAGATTGGGAAGAGACCTTGTGGTCACCCACACAAGCTCTGTGAAGGAAACCCTATGCTGCTGTGAAATCCAGCCAAGGGAACTAGAAGCTGCAGCTGCTGACAGAACCCTCTGGCGAGCCCTGTGCTATGAAGCCTCTACTGGTTTTGAAGACAGGTGCTGCCAAAAACTGATAGAAAACTGTGAGCTGCGTCACAGAATAACACCCACAGTTATTACAACAATGGATTTCCAGTGCCCCCCTTGTGCTAGACTCTGCACTTCCAGACAGGACTGCAGAGCCACCTCCTTGTCCATAGATGAACTGCACAACAGCGTGTCTTCTTCAGACTTAAAGGACTACCTATATTCATGGTACTGTGGGAATACATTGAGTGCTAGACTTTTCCAGTGCAGGAATGCCAATTATATCAATAATGAATTATGACACATTTTGTACTAAGAGTAAAAGATACAAAGCAAGATTATCTGTTAAACTTGGGAAAAGGCAGGAAGAAGTGACAATTTAAACATAGAGGGATTATATTCACCTTCATGTTTACAGAGAACAGTCAACAGATTTATATGTCTTTATCTAGTATGCATTAAATATATTTATCTAGTCATGCTATATTCAAGTATATAGGTAGCTTCTGGCAAGTTCAAGCCAGCTAAAAGAGAGATCCTGATAAGTACTATCTGCTTGGGTTGAGTAATGCTTCAGATACAATTTGGAATACATGGGGTCAGGAATGCAGTTTTCCCAAGATTACACAGCCCTCCGCTGCAGCGTGAAAACCAATGTAAAACAGATGCAACTGCTTTAATGTGATACACACCAAAGTTGCATTTGCACTTCCATGCATTCAAAGGTACCTCTTCAAATCAAATCTAAAGCAATGCAACTCAGAATATATGTACAGACCTTACTATGCATTCAATCATATATAACACAGGGGCAAACTAGATCATGCATTAAATATATAGCACATGGGTGTCCTTCTGACTTTTTTTAGAGCAAGTGGTCAGTAGTCCAATTCAAATCATTCACATGTATGCGTAATCTAATTTTTTTGCTCTGGTTGTTTTAAATATTAATAATAGTTTATATTATTTAACAGTAATGTAATAATTATGAGGCAGAAATGCTACGTACGCATAATAGCCAGACTCTACTGTTGTTATATATATATGGCCCTCATTTTCTCAGATCTGAATATGCTGCAGTTCCTCAATCATAGTCACAGACACTAATAATTTACCTTTGGCAAACTTCATCCTACAATGCTCAAATCCCAATATGTCATAAGAAATTATTGTTCAATTACATAATTTTTCTAAAGAAAAAGTTATGTGAAATTTAAAATATTTGTTTTCACTGGCAGTATAAATGGGAATATTTAAGATTTTGTTTTACTGACTCATCCATAAACAAATTTGAACAATGGTCATGCTATCAAAATGTATAGTCTATATAAGTAGATGTCTTTTCTCAGACTCTGAGAATATGACTGATACAGAAATAAATTAAACAGATAGGTACTCACTGGCCGAGTCTATCCTGCCTAGTCATGCAGCACGTGTGCAATGAAAAGTGATACTTCTTTCATACAACCCTTCTCACCTTTTCGATTCATGCATTGCAAAGATGCTTCAGTAGTAAACCATCCGAAGGAATTGATACACAAATCAATCCCAGAAAAGCAGTGTACGTACACTTATTCATTTCAGAGATCACAGATCATAGATGAAAGAAATTAAACTCCATTCCATAACTGATCTGGCCCACTGATGTCTCATAGTGAAATGCTTCAACGTTAGGATGCCTGTGTGTTTAATTTGACATACAACTTCCATTTGAAGAGCTGCCTATTCCAGTTCAGAGATTAAGAAAAAGGAGATCAGGGCCATAAAGTTCCCAGCAGTTATTTCTCTACGCCTTAAATTGATCAACCACACAAATTACTGGGTCATAATTTTCCATATTATCCCAATATTTACATGCATTTGTACATGCAAGTTGATATATATGATATCTCACTGCAGAGAGTTTTGAGATTGTGGCAGGATATAATTGCAATAAATAAATAAATGTATTATTTGACCATTGAAATTATATCAACTATTTTTAAATGGACTCATATAAATGTTCATGGCCATATTTAAACAAATCTGTTTTATCTCCTACTCTATTTTGTGGTGCTCATTTCTCTACCTTTTTGGGTAGGATAATAATTGTTCTGTTTTTTCAACTGATTTATTGATAATCAGAAGGTGTTGTGTCTAACCATTCAATATCCTACTGTCAGAATGCTTCAAATATGTCTTCTAGAACAAGAGATACATATCCTTTTATCAACATACATCCACTACAGAAATGAACATTCCATTTTTAATCAGTTTGGCAAAGCATCATTTAATAAGAAAAGCATCTTTAGAAGGGTTTTTTTTAAAAGACTTCATTTCTGACAATTTAGGTACGACCATTAGAAAGTATCTATGAGACAATGCAAATCTTGATCAACATTTGACACAGTTGTTTCATGGATACGCATAGTAAGATTACCTTCCTATCCGGCCAATTATATTTTTCAAAGATTGCATCATATGTATCCACAGCACCATCAGTAATCAGCATTATGGCTTGACTGCAAATACTTCCTTGTCCTGTGTGATTGAACTAGAAAACAAACGAACATTTTGACATTACTTGGGTGTTGACAAACTTAGGCAAACAAGCTTTTGCTATAAGAAACCTATGTTTCACTGAGTATTTCCATCTAGAAAAAGAATATTTTGAGATTTCATTTCTGATTTTGATGGAGCATAGTAGTCATACATACTCCACATTTAGAGTATGATATACTTTAATCAGTACAATGCCATATGGAATATTTTTATAAAGAAGCATCTATTCCATCAAAAAAATCAAGTCTGCCAATTACAAGCCCCAAGGCAAGAAATATTTAAGTGCCTCAACTTTGCTGGAAATATGTCAAAATATTAGCAATCATCTTTAATGATCAAGTCAGTGGGAGAGAGAACCAAAAATGAAGAGGGAATATAAAACCAATTTTACTAATCACCTTGTTGCCATCAAGGTAATTTGCTTACTTTATGGATTTATCCCATTTCTTCCCAACCAAATATCTACACACACACACACACACACACACACACACACAGTGTTCCATTTTTCCCTTAACTAGATCTATCAGTTTTTCAAGGCAGACATGGCTCTTTCCTACTTTTATATTCTCAGTCTGCTAGTTCACTGTCCCTACTCTCAGGCTCCCCAGTACTTTAAAAGCTCCTAGGCTCAGAGGGGAAGGCTTCCCCGTGCTGGTTTTTCTTATACAGAGGAATATGGTTTTCTGTGGTCTCCACCCAAGAGTGCATGAACAGACTTCCACCTGTACTGCAGAACATTCCCTTCCCCTGCAATCTTCCAGAAGAGGTAACATGGATCAGGGGACTGCAAGGGGAGTTCTGTTAGATTTCCCACTAACAGAAGCCATCTGATGGTGGAGCAGTAGCAAATGGATCTCATCCTCTAATCAGGTCTGACGCTAGGAGCTGATACACGTATCAGCCAGGCAATTTGAATAAATATATATAGACATTTAGCTGAGATCTGAAGCCCATCATGAAAACTTTCCCTTTTTAACCAATCTTATTTCTTCAGGATGGTAGTCTTCACTGCTCTTGGTAGCAACCAAATCATATAGCCAACAGAGAAACATGGAGATTAGATAACGAACACTTGCTAGGAAGAAAACTATGTTTGTCTATTCAAAAACCAAGTGGCAGTGAACAGATTCTACCTGCTACAGGTAAGATGAGAAAATAATAGAAAATAAAGGGGGCAAACAGAATGATGGGAGAAATGGGTTAAGAGAAGCTGCGTTCTCTTTCACTCTGGGGTGCCATCCTTTTGGAACTGGTGGCACATTTAGGATCTTGATCGCACGTCACTTGCAGTCTCACAAAAATGCTGCTGCTGTATGGGCATGCCCAATCTGAAAACTTCCATTTGCTAGAAGGTCATCTATAAAATTGCTCCCATCATCTTTATTCCTATCACATACATGCATGCATACATACATACGTGTGTGTGTCTGTGTCTGTGTGTCTGTGTGTGTGTATTTGGTCAGGTGAGCAGGCAAGCATACTTTCAGAGAAAATACTGAGCTGCAGCCCTCTGCTGCTGTTAATTTATGCTTGGTATCTTATGCTTGGAAGGAAGGATATGCAGACTGTAGCAGACACAAGAAACAGTATCTGTGAACTCACTGGGCACATAAAACCTTTATTCTCACTTTGCCAAGGTAAAACCAGCCAACTCAGGGATCACTGTATGATGAATAAAACTGGAAGATCTATTTGCATCAATGACTCTTCTTTTTAAAACTAAACTAAGAACTGTACATTTAAAAAAGAAACAGTATATTAAAGTCCTTCGGAAGTAGGTCTCTTCATCTATTTATTTTACTGTAAATCATATTAACCATATTGACTTGGGTGAGGAATATCTTCTCAACTGAATCTAAAAAATTATTTTTATTTCAATAACAGAAATGATGAACATCTTTTCCAGAATAATAACAATAACAAGGGGCCTTATGATGAATTACAATTAATTCAGTGATTCGCCAGTTAGCAGTGAAAATTTCAGCACATCCTGACATTTGGAGCACTTGTTTATGATTAACTCTCTTCAAAATGTCACAGAATTTTAGCTATTGATTAAGACTTATAAAAAACATATAATCACAACAAAAATTACCTTTATTGGCAAAGGAGATAATTGCAACTGTCACATGCTACAATTCACAGAGTAATCTGCAGGAGCAACTCATTGTAGTAGCACAAGTAAAGGTTGGGAAGAATTTGGACTTAGCTATGAATACAGTTGGGGGGATCATGAACACAGAGAACCACCAGCTCTTTGGCAAACACTAGTAAGTATGAAATTTAATTCTTCTAACCTACAAACAAGTCTAAAAGTGAGGCCCAACAGATAACAAAGGGTACTGACCTATAATTCATAAGAACAGATTTCTAAAATTTGCATGTTGCATACTGCTACATACAGTAAAAATTGCTACATTGCCCATGTAAAAGGATAACATAATTAATACAAATTCTAAAATGGGAAAGAAATATCAGTTAATTATTTTCCAGCAGACGAAATCAGAAACAAAAGACAAGGTAAAATTGATGAACTTACATCACTGAGCATATTGAAAGCTTCAACTAAGGCAATGTCCAGCATTCCAATCCCTTTGGCAAAAAGTTTGTCAAGGTGTTCCCTGAAGTGCTGCAGAAGAAACAGAAAGAGGATTTCAAACAACTTATTTTGGAAGAGTTAAAATTTAAAACAATCAATTTATTAAAGTCAAGGAGTCTTTTACATTTGTAAAGAAGCAAACTCATTCAGCATCACAAGGCAAATCGATTTGAAGCAAACAAAATGACCAACCAAGAGGTTAGTCATCCTATGCTATGATACAGTAGTAATCTCCATTGTTGGAAAATATAATGGCAACCACCAGCCAAACACGGTTGATTTGCCCAGTTTCTGAAATTCTTTCCATTCCTTTATCTTACCCTTAATTGCAACACAAAGAAAGCAGTTCTACAATTTCATCTATCCCAGAAAGTTTTTTGAATGTTCAGTTCCAGCCTAATATTGTCTATTTATCCACAGTAAGTCATGAAGTATATGATGATCTTTTTATTAGCCACAGTTTTATTATTTATATTATCACAAATTAATAATTCTGGGGGTCCTCCTGGACTCACGGCTCCTGCTCAAAGAGCAGGTGGCAGTCGTGGCTAGGAGG